CTGTTTAAAAGTCTTTATATCTGGTCTTGTCATTGGGCTATTCATATCAATGAGCATATTTTGAAACAACTTAATCATTCTGATATCTAAGTTTAAAATTCTCCCAGGCACTATCGCATTATTAAAAAATTTGCAAGCAACATTTCTAGTACTGGTTGTGCCACTTCCTTTTCTGACAAAAGAAACCCTTATTTTCAATTGCATCTTGAATAAATGTTGGAATTTTTTTTTGTTTTCAATAAATTCTATACTCTTTTGTGATGGAATATTTCTTCCTTGTTTTACTGCTGGGAGTTTACAAGCAGTATTAAAAACCCACTCCATGTAGCATATCCATAAATGAAGACTGCAAATTCCAAGTTTCAAAACTTGCTTGCTTAAATTTTTATTTTATTTTTTAAATAATTTTTAAATTAAACTCCTTAGAATTTGACAAACATGGCAGGACTGAGATGAAATTCTTTTCTTAAGCATATTTGACAAACATGGCAGGACTGAGATGAAATTCTTTTCTTAAGCATATTGGATACATATTTAATAAGCATATTTTCTTAAGCATTGTTTTGCCATCATTCATTGTGGTGTAAATAGTTGATAAACTAGACTTTACTACCAAAGTATTTTCACCTAGTTTAAATTCAATAGTTTAATAAAAAAATTTCATTTTTTAAATGTTCAAATTTTTCCTGAATAAAATCAGCAGTCTCTTTTGCAAAAGAAAAAAGATGACGGGTGGCATTACTGCAGTTTCATAATATTCAATATGTTCTGGATATGTCAATTTTTTGTATTATTTCAACTTAGTTAAACTTGGAGGTTTAACTATTTTGAAATAATATAATTCAAACATGACGATTATGAGTCACTATACTTTTAAATTTAGTTTTTTATTTTCTATCTGTAAGTTTTTTATTTTATTTTCTATCTGCAAGTTTTAAATTACAAAGAACTTGCAATGATAAATTTTAACCATATAAATTAGTCCAATCATCAAGATTAATCAAAGATTAGATTTAAATCTTTTGGCATGTTCTTCTACTTCTTGTTCTCTAAGACTATCTGTTCTTTTACGCTTCATCCATCGCTTCATCAGACTATCTGTTCTTTTACGCTTCATCCATCGCTTCATCAGACTATCTGTTCTTTAACGCTTCATCCATCGTTTCATCAGACTATCTGTTCTTTTACGCTTCATCCATCGCTTCATCAGACTATCTGTTCTTTTACGCTTCATCCATCGCTTCATCAGACTATCTGTTCTTTTATGCTTCATCCATCGCTTCATCAGACTATCTGTTCTTTTACGCTTCATCCATCGCTTCATTCAATCATCATTGTTTGTAAGCTTTATAAAAAACTGTCTAGGTTTTAGTGTACAAGATATATTCATTGCAGGTGATCTAGATGCTCTCCAGGGTACACTATAAATAAAAAAATACATTGAAACATAGATACAACACTTACTAAACTGTCAAAATGAAGGTTTTGTGAAATAATGTATAAAAAATTGTGTGTGTGTATATATATATATATATATATATATATATATATATATATATATATATATATATATATATATATATACAGGCTTCGGCAGGAATGACGGGCTATAGCCCGTGTCCGTCTCCGCACCCGTCTAAGTCAGTTTAGACGGGCGAAATAAAGCCCATCTGAAACATAAGTTTTGTGTAAAAAAAAAGATGAATATTTTGATGTTTTTTTATTAAGATACTCTTTTAAAACTTCTCTCATGACATAATTTTAATATGGATAGCAAACTCCAACTTATAATTGTTTATATTTAAGTATAAAAATTAAACAATTTAATCATTATTGTATAACATGATGTAGAAAATAATATAACTAAATCTTACAGTTTTTTAAACGATGATAACTGTTTGATATAATACCAAACAGTTACCATATTATGTTCAAAATTTAATAACTATTATATTAAATAGGGAAATATACACATGTGATGCACAAGAAGTATCATGTTGTTTTGGTTTTTCAATGTTTATAATAATAACGATAATAAACTAATTATCCATGTATTTCGCTTTTTTCCGATAAACTAGTTTGTCTTACTTTAAAGACATTTAAAGTGATATTTCCGCGTTAACTTCCGCGTTAACTTCATGTTTTTTCTTAAAGAGACGGCAGTTTATTTAATATGCAATTATATAACTCGTTATTGAAAATGAAATATCTCATTAAAAATCAACAAACGTCTAATCAATTTTTGTAGATAATATAAATAGTGTTGCTTTATAGTTATGAAGTTATTCAAGTTTTTCAAGTTTTTCAGTAAAGATAGTAATGGCATCATCTGGTAGAAGAGTTACATTAGCAACATTTTTGAGTTGGGGTAAAGATGGAGTCTGTGGAAAAGAAACTGAGGTGGAGAATGGAACAATTTTTGTTGTGAAGATATGGTGTATGGTTTGTATAAAATATAAAAAAGAATTGCTTCGCGAGTTAAAAGGTCTAACAAAATCAAAAGCATTAGCATTTATAGAGGGCACTACGAACGTTAAAGCTAGCAACATACATACGCTTATATACCTGCTTATATTGTATATAAAGTAACGGAAGCCCCGGTATCTTAAGAAATTATTAGTACTTCTAAATAAAAACTTATTTTATTAAAAGAAATTAGATTTCAAATTTTTTATTCACGTATCAGAATAACTATTTCCGATCAGGATAGGCATAGGTAAAGCAAAGTTATAAAAATATAAATAACAGTTTAAGTTTTTAATTTGCACGCCTAATAGAATGCAAGAGTATATAAATAATTGAATTTGAAAAATAACATAGTTACGTGACATATTACCAAGCTAATACCAAACAATTCTAAAACTATCGAACTCATTGATTCAAGGTTAAAAAAAAAAAAGATTTCAAACTATTTGCTGAATAATTAAAAAAATTAGATTTTGAAAATATTATGTTATATTTTTATTCACAAAGAATAAGAGAAACGAATGAACTAAAAAAGCACGATAAAAACCTGTATAATTTAATCGAATACTTGAATAAAACAATAATATATAAATATACTCAAAAAGACTTAGGTAAAAAAACACGTTAGGATGCTTGAATAAGGAAACGTGATGAAACGCCATGGTTGTTTCGAGGATTTTTCCCGTCGTTTTCACGTTCATTCGTTTGACTATATCTGCCAGATATTATCTGGAATAAAGATTAAAAAAAAAAAAAACATAAAAAACTAAATAAAATTCCTTCGAGTAAGAAATCTAAACGAAAGCAACCATAAAACAACTAACCCACGTGAAACGAAATTAGATCTGTGCAAGTGAAAACTTTGAAAAACAATTATTGAAATCTTAGTTTTAAGTATTATCCAACTCATTTACTGCAGTGTTTTAATTACTTAAGTAATTAAGCATTTTAAACAGTTAATCGCTTTCTAACATATTATTTTAGTGCAATTCACAAAATGTTTAATATTCAATGACATTTTCATTCAAAAAGAAGAAGAGAAATTAACAAATTTAAAAAAAAAAAAGTTCAAACTTTAGAATTTTTTTTAAAGTTTAAAAAAGCCCGTGCAAGACCATCTAGACGAGCGGCCCTCATAGCCCGCCAAGTCTATTTAAGACGGGCTTTTCATAGCCCGTACTGTTTTTATTCCTGCCGAAGCCTGTATATATATATATATATATATATATATATATATATATATATATATATATATATATATATATATATATATATATATATATATATATATATGTATATATATATATATATATATATAAATGTATGTAATATCCATAACTTATTTAATAATAACAAATTAATATAGAACATATTATACTCACAAGAGATATTTGCATTGTTAATTTTGAACTAAAAAATTTTTGTATTAAATTAAATGCTTTTAAAAACTTTGAAATTCACTGTGCAACCAGCGTAAAGAGATAAAAACTTGGATTGCAAAAAAATGGCACATGCAGAAATATTTTTACTTGTAAAAATATGCCTAGGAGGAAAATCATCAGCCAAAAGTTTGCTAAGATTGAAAGTAACAATATTAAAACAATTTTCAAACCACGCTTAAAAAAATCTTCAAACTTAGTAGTTTTGTTCTTAGTCTTAACTCTGAAGTTAAGACTAAGAACAAATGTACCATCCGCAATCCAGTATTGTTTTTCATACTTGACAAAAACTGTAATTTAATATTTCGGTTTTCAATAAAATTCACATTTGATTTGATTTTATAACATGTTACTACAGAGGTAACAGTAAATTTTTTTATTTAAAACTCAATTTGTTTCAGAAAATTTATATAAAATAAAAAACTGGCTACTTCTATAGTAACATGGTCAAATCAATCAGACTTTAAGGACACACAAAAGCAATGAACCACACATTTTATTTCTTTTCTTTGTTTTTAATTTACAAAATGTATTATTTATTAAATAATATGCAAAAATAGTTAAGAAATTTAAAAATTATCATATGTAATAAAATGATTTAGTGAAACCTGTTTTTTTTTTACCCATGAAAATCCCGCACTTAAAAAAAACAAATTTTTCTAAACTTTTTTTTTTTTAATTTTTATTTGTTTAAATTTTTGTATTTTTATATTCAATTTTGAGACAAATAAAACTTTTTTTTTTATTTAGATTTGACTGTCTATATTAATCTGGTGCATATATTTTCAATTAAAAAATATTTACAAAATCTTTTAAAACTTTTTCTTTTACTTGTTATTTAAAATATTAAAAGGTCTTCATATTTAACCATGATAATGACCTGTAATCTTTTACAATTGATTATAATGATTATGATGATGATGACGATGATGATGATGACGATGACAATGACGATGATGATGATGATGATGATGATGATGATGATGATGATGATGATGATGATGATGATGATGATGATGATGATGATGATGATGATGATGATGATGATGATGATGATGATGATGATGATGATGATGATGAATTATTTATATTTAGATACATCAGAGGTGTGCACAGCACTGAAAAAATATTATCGTGAAAATTATAGAAAAATAAATGAAATTCAACCACCATTAAAAGTACCTGCAAGTGTTGATCTAATGAATAACTTTGTTGATCTATGTATCGTTGATGCAGTTAATACTCAAATGGATGTTGTTTTTAATTTTGAGCGAAAAAAATTTCTTGAAAAGCAAATGAACTATACACCTATTTCATATAGTGAAATTTTTATGAAAGAAAAATCTGTAATATTAATATCTGGAATAGCTGGTATAGGAAAAACATGGTTGCTTCGAAAATGTTTGCTAGATTGGTCAAACAATTTAATTTGGAAAAATGTTGAACTTGTGTTTTATTTGGAATGCAGAAGGCTTAATCAATATCAAAATATTTCTAATATTATTGAATTACTAAATGTTTTCTACAAAGATATTATAAATGATTTTGATATTAGTACTCATTCTACGCTGTTTATAATTGATGGATTAGATGAGTTTAAATATTTACATGACTAATAAATTGCAGTTTGAGTTGTAACTATCCAATTGTTAATGTTTTAACAGAAATTCGAAAATATAAATATGTAGTTGCTGGTAGAGTTTATGCAATTGATCAGTATCAAAGTATATCTACAGAGGATTGTGATAAGATAAACATTCAAATTATGGGATTTAATGAAGATGGAATAAATAATTATATAGAAAATAATGTTTTAGAGGAAAAAAAAGATGTTGTGAAAGCAACTTTGAAGGAATCTGCAATTGCAAAATCAATGTCATCTGTTCCATTTTATTTATCTTTTATGTGTAAGATTATTAGTATTTCAAAAAATTTATACAAAAATACTTTTTTAACAATGACAGACTTGTATGCAAATATTTTTTTACACTTTTTGCTAAAACACATTATCAAAAACAATGAATCGATTTCTCAATTCATGGAAAACAATTTCAATAAAAAATATGTTTTAAACATTTGTAAAATTGCGTATCAATTGTTTGTTGAAAATAAAGTAATTTTTTCCAAAGAAGACATTCAAACTTTCATCATTGACTTTTATAAAAATGAAGAAACTTTTTTTGGATTTATTGAAAGGATTGAAACAAGTCTAGGTGAATATATTTATCAATTTGCACATTTGACAATAATGGAGTTTTGTGCATCTATATATGCATATAATTGTTTAAGTAGTGAAGAGATTATGACTAATGAAAAGCTGAAGAGTTGTTTATCAATGATTTGTGGTTTAACCAATAAAATTCAAAATAGTTCCTTAAAGTTTCTTGTTAACCTGAATCCTTTAAAAAATTCTTGTGAAGATTCTTTATTTTTGTTTTCTATTTTTGGTAAGTCTATAATACTTTATTGCATTATTGTAAATTATTTTATTTATCAAAAGTGCAAGTTTATTAAAATCAAAAGTTTATAAACATTAAGTTTTTTTAAAGCTGTTTTTATCATTCCTTCTTTAAAGAATAGACTCTATTATTTTGTATTTAGTATGTTTGACAATATTTGGCAAGATTTTAAAAGAAAATCAAAATAAATAATATTTTATAAGAAAATATAACAAATATACATATCAGTTTTGATTACAAGTGAATTCATCTGTGTCAGCCATTACACATCTTATACAGTAAGAGAGATAATTATCTGAACAAAATTAAAAAAAAACAAACAAGTAAACTTTGACAACTAATTTCAGAAGAAAAATGAGTTAAAATGAATAAAAGATTGTTGTAAATTAATTATGTTTTTTTTTAATAAATGCCAGTTTAATCAAGAATTCATAACTTAAAAATTAAAATATTTCACAACTTAAAAATTAAAATAGTTACATTTATGTGCTAAAAACTTAATGATGCATTCAAATTATGCATTTTTTTAACTTCAAATAAGTGTCCAAACCAAATTTTATTTATTAAACATTTCTTAAGTAAATAAATTTTTTGACTTTTTAATATGGAGTCAGACCATCTTTAGCGTTTAAGACTTCTGCTAGTCGATTTTGCATTGGTTCAACTAATTTCTTTGTTGTATCTGGATTGATTCAAGTCCAAGCTATTAGGAACACGATTATTTTCTCTTTGTTTTGTTTTGAAATTGCCACTTTTTTGATCCAGAATTGTCCATTGGTGTTCAATTGCAATAAAGTCTGAACTTTGAGTCGGCTAATCAAGTATAAAAAACACTTTTACTTTCTTTGACATATGCTTAGTGTTGTTGTCTTGTCTTGCAAATTCAAACATTTTTTTACTTTTTTATCAGATTACTGATGGTTCCTTATGCTGTTTCAGTTGCTTTTTTTCATCAACCTAAATGTTTTACCTTGTCATTTAAAACAGTGATTAAATTTGCTTTCAGAACATAACATTTATCAAAATTATTTTTTTATCTTCTGAGAAATTAAAGTTTATCTTCATAATAAAATTTTCTGTTAGGATATTTGTTTCTTTTAAATATTAGGTCAAGTAAAACGGACACTTTTTATGTCTTAAATTAAAAAATATTGGAATAAGCTACAAAGTTGATTTTTTTTTTTAAATTGAATGCTTATTAAGTCTAGAACAAAAATACATAAATAGAAAAAAAAATTTCAGTACAATAATTTTTTAAATTTTTATAATCGATTTGAAAGGCTAATTAGGAAATTTTACTTGAGCATGCAAAATTGTATCACGCACTTGTTGCTGTTTTGTTTCCATTTTAAATAGTAATATAAAAAAATATAAAAATATTTTCTTAGTATGGAGTATAAAGGAAAGCATGAATGAAGCGTTTTCATATTTCATGAATAAAACATTGCTTTTCATCATAACATGGAACAGTTTTAAGTTAATTAACTTATTATTTCTAATGATTGTTTAATTAAACACATTTAATTTATATAATAAAATTGTATTATACATATTGTTTTTATTTATGTTATAGAATTTTTTTTATTATAAATTTAAATCTTTGAACATAATTTTCTTCAAAAATTTAATTTAGTTTTATAAACAATGTTGACTTTAAACAACAATTGTGTCTTTAAAAATCAATAAATTTTATGTTTTAGGCAAATGTCTCAGTAACTGATTTTTCATAAATCTTACAGTTTTTTCTACAAATATTGCTTCTTTCTAAAATGCTTTTTTAGAGTAGTTATGATGAGTGCGCTGTCTGCAAACTTAATGAAGCTAATGATCTTGTTATCATCTCTGTAGCACCTAACATGGTTCGCAATGTATTATAATAAACCATTGATTTGAAATATATAGAGTTGTGTAGTAGAGTGCCAAGCCTTGTGGTACTCCAAATGACTTGCTAGTCAGATTAAAAAAGTGACATGATTTGACTTGCTTCTATGCCTAATAGCTGCGATCAAGTGAAGTATCTGCTTTTATTTGAGTTCTTACATCATTTTGATTGGTTATGATCTGCTGTAACATGGTATTTTGACTTCATTTCAATTAGTCACATCTAAAGACTGTGAAAAAATGACTTCATTGAGCCTAAACTTTGATTTTATGACATGACTTAACAAAAGAAAATTTGTATTTAGTGAGAAAATACAAAAAAAATTAAATTTTTTTATTTGTTTTGTCTGATAATAAACAACAATTACATATTAAATAGATAAATTCAGTAAAAAATCATTTGAAATAAGCTTCAGAAATAAATAGATTTCCTAGATTTGGTAGATTTGTTACTAACCCCTCTGGAGGATTTAGAAACTCAACTTTAGAAAAGGATAATAAGTTTCACAAAGTAGCCACCAAATGTATTTTTGATAATATACTTGGTACACTGTCCTTGATAATGATATCTAACCCTAATCCTAGCCCTAACTCTAATATATTTTGCTACAAAGTCTTTCCATGATCATTTTCTATGATCTACTTGATTTATGGTTCAACAAAGTTAAAAAAAGATTGTGTTTTAAATTGTATTTACCTATAATTGTGATTATCACATATACCTTTACTCTTTTAGGGCATCTTTTCTATGATCTTTTTGATTTGTGGTTCAACGAAGTTGCTAGCTCTGTAGTTTAGCCTCATCCTCTGAAAAAGTTGTTGATGAAACCTTAATTGCAGTGGTGGTAGTTTTTTCTTGGGTTTTATCAGCTGCTCCCACTAAACCTTGCTCTGTTTCTCAAAGAACTCAGTCACATAACCAGCTTTTTCTGTGGTAGTGTCCTTGCTGTCCTAGAGACAAAGAAAATTAAAAAACTAAAAAATAAGCTTGAAGGGCCAGTAGAGTGATACCAATTTTAAATCTTTAATGACCTCTGTAGTTGTTATACATCAAGGCACTCAATAACTTCTTGAGATTAGTTTTATTCTCCTTGAGATGCACAGAATGAACCATCAGAATGGAAGTTGTTTGCATTGTAAAGTAACATGACTTTGAGTTTCTGGGATAAGCTGTTTTCTTGCTTTTATGATCTTTTTTATCTGTGGTTTATTAGATAAAAGATATTAGCTCTAACCTCACACAGGTTCTGGAAAAGATTTTTAGGAATATGTGTATTGATTTTCAGTATTTGTAGTGTTTTCTGGAGTTTTATCTGCAGCTTCCACATTGGTCTTTCCCACAGAGAACTCACTTTGTTGTAACCAGTTCTTACTTTGATAGTGTGCCTTAGTGTCACTATTGTCCCAGAGGCTAAAGATATTAAAAATTTGTTTGAGAGACTTGAAGGTGTAATAGAATAATACCAATTTCATATTTTTGATGACCTCTAGTCATTATACATTAAGGTACTCATTAACATCTCGTTACTAGGCTACCATTTCTGTTGGCTCCTTCTATGCACAGAAGGAGCCAACTGTATTGGTAGCCAGCTGTTATTATTGTGAAGCAACATGGCTTTGAGTCTCCAAAATAAACTGTCTATAAATAGGTGCTATTTACTTGGCATGTGATTCCATTAGCTTTAAAAAAATCAACCACAACGTTACAGAAGCAATGGGTTTTCTGACAGAGCAAGTTGTAAAATTTTTAATTTATTTTCAATGAATTGTGACTTATTTTTGTTTAACAAATTCCACTTAATCCGTGATATTATTAGTTCAGCTACGACTTTGTCATCTCTTGGTCTCTCATTAAATCATTGTCTTTCTGACTCGGCAATTAGGTTTCTACTGAAAAACTTTACCTGTTAAACTATAACTTGTACCTCCAATATCCCCTTTACTATTAGACTTGCTGTTTTTTATTGAAGATGGCTGATCCTTTTTAGGGGGAGAAGAACATGCAGCTCAAGGCTGTGTAGTCCTAGGGTATCAGATGAAGGAATATCTGAATAAACGATTGAGACACATTTTTGTGACGTTTTTTTGTGATTAATAATGCAAAAGTAGAGGTTGTTTGAATGGTTCATTGATTTTCACCAAATTTTAAGGGTTTCAAATCTCATGACTATACCACCCATAACATTGCATTTATAGTTATATAAATTTGAAATAATCACTACAATTTTTTTTATAGTGCACCAATATATATAAAAACTTTGTCACTTATATATCTAAATCATAGAAATTTGACAAAATAAAGCACATCTACACAAGAAGTAGTTGTTCGTTTTGTTTTCAAGAGTTCTCTTGCAATATTATTTAAAATGTATTGCCCAGTATTGATCTTATTCCATGCCGACATACTGAAGCGCACCTTGAACAGCACTCTATCTAAATTCTTTAGATAGAGTGCTGTTTATAGAATCTGTATATA